TGTTCCCTATGATCCTACATTAAATCAATTGATATCTTTCATGCTATGTTGAGCACACTTACTCTACGTCTCATAAAAAATTAAGCCAACGACTTCTATACACACAATCCCCTTTTATGGGAATTACAAACTGCAACTAGCGGCTGCCCGCAAGAGGCCCTCCCGCGCTGCAAACCTACGACCGCACAACTCGCAACAATGGACTGTGCACGTCCGACCTAGCGCGCGGCTGCCGACAATTATGTCCTAATTTCATCAGTTACAAACAAGCTTTCACCGCTTTGACGTTTTACATCAGTTGGGATGGCTAAAGGGGAAATTCTCTCCAATAAAAACACTCGTTCATACAGCCGTTTAGTTTTTGACTTGGTACTCTTTTAGGGGGTACACTCGGAGTAATACATGAATGAGACCTTAAATCATGGACAGCAAAGCCTAACAGTCATATCATGACTCAGCATATTTGCTTTCATGCTCGTCTGATCATGATACATGTATTTCCACTAGATAGATGTATCTTATTTATTTATTTATTTCATCTTATAAACACCTGGGTGGCCTCTTCAACAGTATTGTTGATTTCCAAGAGGGCCCAGGGACATGTAAACATAAAACAATTTGTAAAAAAGTAAATTATACAGTCAAGTAACATAAGAAAAGTTAACTGAGATCAGTATAACTGAAAATCAGTATAACTGAAAAGTTAACAAATGATACAACGTACAACATATATAAATTTCTGAACAGAAATATACAAACCAAAATGTCAAAATCATAATCGTGATCCATAATCGTGTCCTGCATGTTTAAGAGTCAGTCGTTGCTGATCTGTTTCAAGAGAAACATCCCTGCAATACCGCCACTGTCTCTGGGAGGTGAACCTGTTCCAGTCACTAGAACAGCAAAGGGCCTTGGCTTTACATTTGACAGTAAACTTTCTTTCCAAGATCATGTGAAGTCTACCGTTTCAAAGGCCTCCAGTAGGCTACACTATCTGAGATTATTGACCAAGCAAGGCATGAGTGTTGTTGATCTGGTTCAGGTGTATTTGTCATTGATTCGTCCCGTCCTGGAGTATGGACACGTCCTGCTGGTTGGGTGTAATGAAGAACAGTCCGCCAGTATGGAACGCGTCCAGAAACGTGCCCTACGTATAATCTCCTGTAGTGGTAGACGGGCGGTTCCAAACCTACCTACCCTGAAGGAAAGAAGGGAGTCAGCAGCAGTAAATCTCTTCAAAGCTATGCTGAACCCTGGTCACCCTCTGCACGACCTTGTTCCCCCTGAACGTGCGACTGCCACAGGGAGACAGCTTAGGAACAGCAACACGTTCACTCTGCCCAAAGCGAGGACCCTGCGCCTGAAACAGTCCTTCATTCACTGCGCAGTAAGACTCTTCAATGCCAGTGACAATGGCTGATACATGTATCTGAAAACCTATGCCTGCTATTTGCATGCATATAGCAGAGTGAATGGTGTTTTGTACATATTTGTATATAGTGTGTTTTTTGTGTACCTGTCCTGTATTGTTTTTTTTTAACTTATTGTAAAAATCAGTTACACAATTCAGGGATGCATGCAGCATTCCCTGCTTTTGTATGATTTTGTTGATTGAATAATAAACTGTAATAACTTATAAGTTATGATGACTGGTTTGTTGATTAAAACATTTTGCAGCCAGGAGGCTGAATTGCATATTTCATTACATTCCATGCTGACCATAACAACTTTAAAAGATCATTCTAGCTAATTTGTGAATAAAATTGAAATGCAACTTCTACATACATTGTACATACAAGATAAAAACACATAATACATTTGTAAATCGTTAAGGGGTTTCACAATGTAGGGCAAGGGGCGGCTCTTAGAGTAACGCCTCGTATGTGCTACAATACCATCAAATTTGTTGGGTTCTTTTGCTTTAAGTATTTAAGTATTAAAAAGGTTAAAGTATTAAAACCACAGGCAACAGCTGGGACATTTGTGTACATGATTGTATTATATTCCTCCTTTCCTCCTATTTGTCAAAATGCAGCTGCAGTATATGCATTTGTACTTCTATACATGTACTGTACATTTAACATCTATACAAATGTACTTAAACCTACAAAAAATTCGGTGCACAGCTCCAAATTTGGGTGCACTTGACTAAGGTGCACATGCACCCAGTTTTTCGAGCCCTGTAATATAACATAGTTCTGAAAGTCATGATCAAATTACCAGTGCCAGTTGTGCCCGAACCATGAGGACATATTATAAAGGGCAACTAACAGTAGATGATAGGTAGTATATAGTATTGTTGTAATCATGGAGGTAGAAAAAAGGAAAGGAGGGAGGACGTATTTAGCACCCGCCGCGGCCTTTTGTTTTGCGGCGCTAGATCCCGCTGGTTTCTATTGTCCGCCGGCCCGGCGGTACTTCGTTTGATGCCTATGTTCGCCGCGGTCTCTCCCGCCAGAATTCCATATATGGCTATGCAAATGAGCCGAAAATGACATCACTGCCAGCGACGGTAGCCGAGTCCACTCCGAGCAGGGACCGACATACCCGAGTTTCCGAGCATTTCCTTATTTGGGTTGCGTCGTATTGTTGCGCAGAAGTCAGCATCGGGAGCGGAGGGAAATGGCGGATACGAAGATATGTTTATGTTTGTTGTGCGACGAAAAATGGGCGAGTTACTGCGTTTTTTGTGTTTTGTAAAGCTCGAATCGAACATTTTAGAACGGGAACATTTCAACGAAATACAATCGTCTAGTATGAATTTGTGTAGATTTTTTCTAGATATGCCGATATTATTCTGGATAGTTGACGATGTTATGTCCATTTTCCAAACTTTCGTAACTGGCAAAGTAGCGATTTTTCCGGACAAAGTGGACTATTTGTGGCCATATTCTACGCAAGCTGTGTGCCTCTCTGCTAGCAGAGGAGGTGTGTAGAAATGGATTTTGTGCTCGAAGGCCCAAATAGAAACGAGACATTCTTGTAGTAACCGGGACATCCTTGCTTGTTGTTATTCTACCACGAGGAAATATTTGAAGTGACACATGCGCTCAATTCTTTGGTTGATTGTGGTTACCGGTAGGGTGCATGTTCCTCAAACAAGGATTCAAGCAAGGATTTGACCAAAGATACTTAACCTCCTGTTGTTTGAAGTATCGGGGTATAAAGATACTAGAAATAACAATGAAGTCTAGTTACTAGAAAATAGTTGCAGTGCCGTGCCTTCCGTCAAGTTTGTCGTCTTTGATACACGTTTCTTACCTCCCTGCATTCATCGAAGTAATCCTCAAATTTGATACAAACTTACCGTAGAATAAAAGTTGCTACAGTTATAGTTGTCAAATGCCGGGCATGCCGTCTTGTCACTGACATTAATAACAATGGAAAACTCTGGTGTGCCGCTCTGGGGGCTACGCAAATCAGGGCAATTGACAAGTTCGTGCCAATTACAGTTTTGACGCCCGCGGCCAACATCGGACAATAGGCAGAAAGTTTGAGCTCCCTCCTTTCCTTTTTTCTACCTCCATGTTGTAATGTATAGATTCTTATCACTTTGCATTAGAATATAGCGTTTCAGTATGAAATACTCATGTTTTACATACTGGACATCCTCTTGTGCATTTAGCCCAGCTGGGCAAGAATATGCAATAAAGATTCATATCATTATAAAGATAGCATAGTTCTGATAGTTATGATTATACCGTACCAGTGCCAGTTGTGCACGAGCCACCACCGTCTCGTATGTAGCAGGCATGTTCAGGCACCCTTCCACCTGTAGTCTGGGGTCAGAGTCTGCATAGAAGGGAACACAAGAGACATTTGTCAGGCTAACAAATGTACATAACTAGCATTGGCATTCACACATTTCAGTGGCTTTAGAGCCAGCATTCCTGTGGGATTAGTAACATTCAGCCTCTTGCCAAGGCTGGATTTTTGTACACATTTACAAATGAACATTGTAATAAAGTTTCATGTTTTCAAAACAAATTTCAGTCTCTACCTAAAACCTAAAATCAAAACCGTGTTATTGAAAATTGGGTCTGACAGTAACAATCTTGGAGGGAAAAGCATAATTATGTCAAAGTTTGTGTAAATAAAAGCCGTTTTATTGAGGATACTCAAAGACACTTAGTGTAACAAGAAGACTGCATAACTCACCTGACCCTAGGTCCACACTAGGAGACGGAGGCACGGCAGACTCGATGGTCACCTTACTGAACAGGAAGATTGGGTTGGTGTCCTGCAACACAAGTGATAAACCATTATATCTTTTATTACATTATGATATGGGCAATGTGTCTATTTGTAAGGAACTGATACAAGAACTTGGAAATCTCTAAATCTACTTTAACTACATTCACCATGACATCTTAATCTTTCCCCTAGTCTGACAACCAATTTTCTCCACCCTTCTCAGTTTTCTGTTCTTCTTGACATGCTGGTGCATTCTCTGATATTATCCTCCCATCTTTACTGTTGCCTACACATTTCTTCATTGTGCTGAAAGGCTGCCGTTACAAATCCTTCCAATTCAGTCCCTTCAACTGTAACACTGTAAGCTCCTCGCAATTCATTCAGCCCTTGGTTATGAAAAGAGAGTAGTCGGCCAACCAATAAACCAACCAATGATAGTTTTTAGACAAAACTATGATCATGATCCTCGTAAGAAAATTCAAACTCTACTACTGGATCAGTTACGGATTTTTATTTATTTCCGGACGTTTCGAGTGAACCGTTCTTTTACATGATAAAGCTTCTTACAGACCGTTGTTTAACTGTTTTTTCTAGTTACTTGTATATAAGAGTGAATCGGTTCTCTGTTCATTTGTGACGCTGAAGAAGAGTGATGGATGTCACTCGAAACGTCCGGAAATAAATAAAAATCCGTAACTGATCCAGTAGTAGAGTTTGAATTTTCTTACGAGTATCGTTTACCTGGATGTCTAACCTTCATCAACGTATGATCATGATCTATTGTAACACACTAGTTTTACATTATATTATTACTGATCTACACAATACTTTTGATGCCAACCGCCAGAAATCGCTGTATTTGTTTGCCTCTCGCTTGATAGGTTACTTTGTTCAGACTGGCTTTTTCCTCTAGTCTGTTCTGGCGACATTATTGTAGATGGGTCCGCCCACCGTAAGGGGGCCACCTTGCCGCAGGACAGCTCAGCTACATTCATCTATACATACTTTGATGTATGTTTGCTTTTAGATGTGTTTGTGTCATGTTATGTATGTATCTCTGTATACTATGGGCCGATGAGCCTCAAACAAACAATGAATACACGTTTACTAGTGTCCTCACCGTTCCTGCGCTGTAGCTGCACACACGAGACTTGCTCTCCAGCATGTCAAAATCCACCATGAGTGGGTCATACCATACAGTCCAGTCTTAAGCATGAGCTTGTACCTACTGTACAAAACTGATGTGTTACGCCTAGTAGGTGATTTACTGGTTATGCAAAATAAAGAAACAAACAAGAGCAAACTTGTGCTACATCCTCACCGTTCCTGCGCTGTAGCTGCACACACGAGACTTGCTCTCCAGCATGTCGCCTCCACTGATCAGCATCACCTGCTTGTCCGCAGGTACACACAGAGACCTGGCCACCTCCTGCTGAAGGACATTCACTCTGCAAAACAACAGGAAACACAAACAAACATACACCTTTTCCTTCTATCATGAAAGTTTATTTGTGTTCGTAGTTACATGTTTAGAGTTAAAACTTTTGGGCCAGCACAAAAAGTTCTCTCACCTAGAGCTTTAGACTAGTCACTCTGGTCTTCCTCACTAGGCTGACACTTCAGAGAAGCCATGAGATAAATTGCAAGTCTCACTGGGTCAGTCTACTGAGGAAGACCAGAGTGACTGGTCGAAAGCTCTAGGTGAGAGAACTTCTTTCTGTTGGATCAAAAGTTTTAACTTCAAACAAACAGGAAACACAAAGAAACATACATCTTTTTCTCGTGCAAAATCTTTGAGGGGTAGAAATTTTTTTCCAGTCTTCTGCAATATTGCAGAATGTCAAACTTTTGTTCTGCAATTCAGAAATACTTTCTGCAAATGACCTAAACCCAATACCATATGACAATTTAATAGTAACAAGAGCTCTTAAACAATAAACACCATTGAACCCTAGCCTGATTTTTTCAGTCTGCAAAATTGCAGGTTGCTTAATTTTTATTCTGTAGTATTGAAAATGTCCCTGCAAAATGCAGACTGCAGATGGGTATTTCTACAAATTATTCAGACTTCCAAGGCTTGAAATTCATTCTTGGGAATGGCATTGGTGCACCTAACCTAAAAATATTTGCACAGAAAAAAAATTTGTGTGCACGATATAAGATAGCAGGGTTTTTTCTAAACAGGGGAATTAGGGAGCTGCTCCCTCATGTAACCAGCCAGCTCCCTCATACCAATTTTCAAATTGAACCCTAAGTGGCTACTCTTATTAAAATAAAACCCTTGGTCGCTTTGTTCCTTGTCATGCTTGCGATCTGCTCCCTCATGCTAAATTTTTCTAGAAAACCCCCTGAAATTGAACAGAATGTATAACCCTATTCTAAAGGCTTTAAGTATGAAATTATGACGTAAATGCATTAAAAAACGTCAGTATATGTCAATGTCAGACAGATTTTCTCATCCTGGTTCTAGCTGCTGCCCTGAAATTTCAAATTGGATGCCCTTAAAATCTACATCCTGCTCACAAACATAATACGATATCATATTACGATAACATATTACAACCTGCTGACAAGCTTATTATGATATCATATTACTCACGGCTGGAGGGCCAGGCTCATGTCAAAGGTCAGCATGATGCCGGTGTCGACCAGGAAAACGTACAACATGGCGACGCTATTCTCTTCGAGGCCTCTTTCACAAGTACTGATAAAGCAGGTTGGTTGGATGTCTCTTGTGCCACAGAAGTACTCAGACAGTAGACATCACTGTTTCTGTTATAGATATACCTGGAGACTGGAAGAGAACATAGAGTCAGTCACAAACAACACTGAAGGTGACACTGAAGGCCTCAGACACTAAACAACAGTAAACAACATCACTGTTTGTGGTAGATATAACTGGAGACTGGGAAAAGAAGTGAAAAAACAATGACTCGATCACAAACAATAGTCTAAACAACATTTTGGATAAATGATTACAGGATTGTAAGTTTATATATAAGTCATTCTCTTCTTTAAACTCTAACATTGGAAAGACAGACAGTTCAGTCACAATTCGCATTTGCAGGCAAAACTGGTATTTCTGCTAGTAACATTATTGTTTATTGTAACAGATTTTTTTTTATAATTGAACAAACCATTATAAATGTTCTCAAAATCAAGGCAAACTGGCTTAAATGGGGATAATTTTTTTTTCTCTTGAAACAACACACAATCACTAAACAGATAATAACCAAATATATAAATAGGAACAAAAGCAAGTCAACATGAAATATTGGACTACATAACTGTCATGTGCCAGAAATATTGGAGCAGGTGCCTTTGTTAGAAAAAGACCTTTGTTCAAGAAAGGCACATCATGTACACACAAAGACTTCCTTTGTATATGTCTGTATGGTACAACAGCACACATAGTACACCTGTCCTAAAGCAAGTTGCTCACAACACAACATTCCATCCACATTCTACGGACACAGTTCATCAGTGTTAGAATTCAGGGCAGTTGGTTGGTATTTTCCTCTAATGCCCATGATCATGATAATGATCATTCTGGCATGCTCATTTTCACCTGAGTGAAGTGAGGAAAATTGTGTAAAGCAGGATTCGAACCCGTGACCTCTTGCTTCCGAGCCGAATGCTCTGCCGCTACGCCACACGACCCCAGTTGTAAGGATGGATAGGGACCGTATGGTCTCGCAGTTAGAAATCGATTCCAACTTAAATGGGTTTTTTGGATGATAGATTCGTGCCTTAACAACACACAAGGGACAAGGTTGTCATCACCAAGCACAGGCCAACCAAACTAAAGCCAAATGTTGGGCAATGATTGAAAATTGCTGGCAGAAAGGTTAGTTAGATAATTAAACTTTCAGGTGAGACATAATGGCATATGGCTATGACTAAGCATGATGATGCAAACATAAGAAAATCCCCGAACGTTAGATCTTGTCTTGTCTTGTCTTGTCTTGTACGGATTCTGCACAACACCCCTAGATTGGGGTAAAGCGTGCAGGGGAGCTGTGCGATGCGCTATTGCTGCTTCTTTAAGGTGTTGAAGTACTGCAGCGTTGAACTTCGTGGGTTCCGCAGTATCAGTTATCTCTTGGGGCAAAATGTTCCAATCTCTGACAGTTTGTGGAAAATATGAGTATTTGTAGCAGTCTTTGTGAAACGTTGTACTAAAGCCAATAAATAATTCTACTGATATGCGGAGAATAATAATTTACAGAACGTGCATGTTTGTGTCGTTTGTGTTCCAAATTATTTCCGAATTTCGCTGTGCGATGTTATACAGGAGTAACAGGTCAATCGAAAGCTGGTCAATCGAATGACCATTTGCTGGTCGCTGAGTCAGAACGTACTCTGTGTTTTGAATTACTTACAGTCAAAACATACACCGGACGTAAACAGACAAAAATACCAAACAAAATACCGAATAATAACCACGCCTGAGCCAAGAAAACGGCTCGATACAACTGAAGACATTGCATAGTTTCATGCCTTAACCACTTGGACTATTAGAGGGCTAGGTTATTTTAGAAAACGGTCCTTGTTTACGAGTGCCGAGGTCAAATTTGATAATGATTTTCAATATTCAAGGTACATCTACCAGCTGGTCTTATGTAAACACAACACCAGAAATTACAGATTTTGCGCCAACTATTGTACATATAGGGACGCAACTCGACAAAAACATTACGGATATCTTCTTGTAGTCGGCTGTTAACATGTGAATCTCCTACCTTGCAGTATTTGGGATTATTTGACGTCTGAATATTACGCTGCAGTTTCCTCTTCGTCAGCCTGTCGCCATTTTGATTTCGACTCGAACCTGTAATGATTACGTCATCTCGTTTAAAAGCGCCGCCTATCAGTATGGCACTGAAGTCCAGATAGATTATGTCTTCTGTTTCTCTTTGAGTAAAGAAGAACTTTATTGCACGACAATTGCACAAGGTACAATGTATGGCAAACTACATAAAGAAAATAACAAACAATAAAATAAATTTGTTGAATAAGACCTAATGTCGAATAAAACCTAACATATCTTAATTACTCAAACAATAATAGCTAGCACAAGTCTCACTACTTCAATACCTGTCACTAAGCTCCACTTGTCATTTGTACTGTTGTAAGAAACAGGAGGAGTGAGTAGAAACAGATGTAAACCCCTGGTCCCGGGTCGGGGTTCAAACCCACGACCTCCCGAGCACCAGCTTCAGACTCCGACGCCACTAGGCCAAACTAACCACTCGGCCGAAAAGGTCTAGACTCATCGGCCGCCTATGAACCCCCCACTGTTACACTACTCCCCCTTTTCTTTTCAAGATTCGTCCTCGAGGCCAGAGGTTAGTGTTTGGAGAAGAAGAGGAAGGAAACTGAGCAAAAACATCATGTTTTCCTTCGGTAAACATGATAAACCGAAGCCTAAGCCTCTGACTCTGTTTGGAAAGAATTACTAAAGTAACTAGGTCCGTTTAAATGCACTGTGGTTTCAATATAATGTGAAAGTTTATTGTAAATACATGCCCGAGGGCTAATTGCAGTTACAAACAACATGAGAAAGAAAATACAGTGGTATGTGAGACTATATCTACGTCTAACATTATATTATATTCTACAACATACATGGTAGTTTTAGTGGGTTTGACTTCGTCTTTTTAGGCAATGGAAGACGAATTTACCAACTTCTTCTATATGTGGGCTCTTTGATTTTAGTAGTAAAATTGTTTCTTCGTGGTAGGGAATGGTGGGGAAGTAAAGGAGCATTTTGGACACGGTGGTAAATGATTGTTTTCTGATGTCGTCATAAAATGGACAGTTAGAGATGAAATGAATTTCGTCTTCCACTGCATTTGAGGAGCAATATTTACATATCCCCCTCGACACAGGTAGTTTCATATATCGCCGGCGCCCTTTTTCGATTTCCAAGGAGCCTGTGGGCACTGATTCAATATAAACGTTACTACACGAGAACGTGCCGTTTCGGCTGTCTGACTGAGGGACGTCATAGCTTGATAAGCCAGCGGTTTACCTTCACCACGGTCTGCCCGCACAAAATGGAGTCACGTTTCCCTCCCCGCTAATTAGCCTACCGTACAACAAAAAGAACCGTGAAGGATGAGAAAACAAAAACTTGACTGGTATAATCTGGTATTTGCTTACTTACAATGCGCGAGCATTGAGAACAAGATGAGAAATGACCCTTTATTCATTCTTTGTAGTGTACTAAATCACGACTAAGTGCGCGACGACGCCCAGTCCCTTGCAAACCGGGACCACACTCGCACCTCGCAAGACCCCTTCACTCCACCGGAGTACAGGTAAGCTCGAAGTACAGGTCCGTGTTGTAAGCCAGAATTGCTTAGGCACAGTTCTAGATAGCCCGTGCCTGGGGTAAATCTACAGAGATTATCCAGAACCGTGCTTGATCCTAACCCTAACCCATTCGGGACTAGAACTAGACAGGCACGGTTCTGGATACGATACAGATATCCCAGTCACATTTGTTGTACGAAAGACAACTTCCGTCGCAAACTGAGAAATTATTCTTGGGATAGTCTTTCATCATGTCGTACAAATGTCTTACGGAAAAGGGTTGTCTTAGATTTTTGTCCGAAATTTGTTCCATCACAGCCTCAGCCTGAAACTTTTACGGTGTCAAAGTCTTACGACGGCCTACTCTCCAAGCAGAGGTTTTAGGGGAATGATCGTTACCTTTTTATATATGGCCTTTTTTTTGTCCTGACCCCCGTCGGTGGCCGCGGAGCGTCTCTGGCTAATGGATACTGCCTGGCCAATTTGATACTATCTTTTTGCCACCGAAAGGGATCTGCTTGGAGATTAACGACGGCCTACGACGAATGTGACCGCCTCGTACGACATCATTTTATGCCGCTACGTTCCTCAGTGTGAAACTGGGCGAGACAACTGGCTTCTCACGGTAGACCACGAAATAATGTGATTACATTGAATGTCAATGGCAACTTTATTAAACCAGTGCCCCACCAGTAGTAGTAGTAGTGACGTTACATTTGTTATAATGCGTTGTCGGCTGGTTGTTAAGGACCGTTGGTTGGCGAGGTGGTTTTATTTCTTTCATTTTGCATTGAGTACATATTTGTTATTCGTTCTTTTAGATAGCCAGATTAGCCGTTGTCTTTTGGAGCATTTTGAAACCTCCGTCTGCATGGTCCATACTGCCTTGCAAGTACATGTATATTGACACGGTTTGAATAACACTGAAGTTAATTCCTACGTTGGGCCTTAAATTGGCTATAACTCAACGACGTCAATGATGTCTTCGCACATTATAAAAGTAGTGTTTTATAATTAAAGTTCTGGGGTGCAACGGTAATGGTTCTACAGCTAGGTGTTGGCTTTTGATCTTACAAGTAGGTCACCTGCGTTCCTTCAGGCGGCAATGGCCTCCTAGCAACAGTCGCCATGGCAACGGCTATCGTAAGGCGGTTTGTCAACTTACCTTGACGCAGTTCTTCCGCGTAGTTGTTGCAGACGTCTGTGTGACTGAATGCAAACGTCCCCTAATTGATTCGACTATTCAAAGTGGACATTAAGGGCCACAAGTGTACGGTTGTATCTTGTATGTAACTGTTGACTCAGCATAGTATAATGTCGAAAGTCGGACTGGAGTTGGGTAGCTTGACACATCCCTTTTCTGTCTTATTTCCTTTTTCTATGTCTTAGTAAACGTCAAAAAGCTACAAAAAAAGAAAATAATTAAGAAAAATCTTGTCCCTCCTGTCTAGTTTTCCTTCTTTTTTTTAGTTTGTTATTCCCCAATTAAAACGGGGCTTGTGTGAGTGAAACAAGCTAGAGCATACACATGGAAACAGTTACTCAAGCACATGCTCAAGCTCACTCCCAAAGCACATGTGGAATCTCTCAAGGGCAGTCTGCAGTACCAAGGGCCTGTCCTGTGGAACAGTCTTGCTGCTGACCAGCGGCAACTGACAGCAACGTCAGCATTTAAAGACGGACTGTAGATGACCGCAGATGAAATGTGCCTATATTGTATACTGTGATTGTTTTGTATAATATGTAAATGTTTGTAATATTTGTTGTATATTGTTGCGTTGAACTTGTGTAATGTTATTTTTAATGTGTGCCCAGGGATACCTGAAAATCAGATCAACTGATCTGAGGTATGCCCTGGTGAAATAAATAAACTTGAAACTCAAGCAACTGGATAGATTTTGCAAAAATGTCAGACGTTTAAAGTAGCATCCAATACTTTTCGACAGTTTGTAAAATCTATCCAGTTGCTTGAGTAACTGTTTCTGTGAGTATCTCATTACCTGGATGTTTAACGATTCATTGACGCAATACAGCTTTTAAAAGTTCCTTTTGGGTGATTTTTTTGACAGTATGTCAATGAGAACTTTTGAACAACTTTTAAGTTGACGCCCTTTCCGCAAACAACCAGGTCTTTAGTTACGTTATGTGCCGCGTGAATATGCATACTGACACACGTGTCGGCAAACACGACCGTGACAATGTCAGAGTGAATGAGACTCTTTCATTATCCAACGTAGGAATTATTCCTCACAAGTTCTTTGCAACCCTCGCAAGTTGGACATGCAATACGTAAGTGGGAACTAGTTGTGATCTTCAAAAAAAGACGCCACGTTTCGACAAGTTTTCTGACCTGTGGACGATGGTCTACCTGTCGTTTATAGTTCAAGGTTCTGGATAGAACCGTGCCTGGGGCAAATCTATGCATGCGGAGACTTTCCACAACCGTGCCTGATCCTGACCCTAACCTTTCAGACATAGAACTAGATAGGCTCGCTTCTGGATACAGCATGCGACTGACCATGCAAACAGCTGTATGAAACAAACCATGTTGACGAGTCTTCTGTTTCTACTTTTTTTTAAATAGAAGGATATCACCATGTTGGGACCAAGCGTTGCCGTCTTCGTCGCCCTCCTGGCAGCTGCGTCTGTGGACGCGTCCCACTTCCGGGGCGGGACCATCTCCTGTACACCTGACATGGACGACACGGACCTGGTAAGACTTTTTACAATACAGATACAAGGGTGTAGCCTCCACCAGGCCTTCCTAATAAAAGTTAAACTAGTTAAATGGTATCTGTAGGTTTTGATGGCATCTCTTATTCTTAACCCATAGGGAAAATAAGTTTCAATCAATTAGATGCTTTGTTCTTCATAACCGCCATCACCAAACAACAAAGTAGCTGTCACAACGCACAACCACACATCTAACATTTCGTGTGCGTTTTAATCAGGCTATGTTACTCAACCTACGCCACCATCTCAACCTATGCATGTATATCCAGCATAACAAGAGATGAGAAGAAGCCAAACCGTTGTATTAGAGTGGTTTTATAATTAGAACCTATGTTTTAGATCAGTATCATAAGTCTTGTCAATGTATAAGTACGTTAGTATTACCTTTGCATGACTGTACAATAAAAAAAATAAGGGCTATCCATCTTCACTTTAATGTGGTGGGTTCTTCAAATTCCTCTTCTAGGTATGGCTGAGATGTAAAGAACTTTCCCAGGGGCGCAACATTCGACCTGCTAGAGATTCGAACCCAGAACCTTTAGATTCCAAGTCAATAACCCAAAATACAAGACCACCTTACCATCTTGTTCTTAACCGGCTTAGGTCCACTGTAACTACCGCATGGGCTGGCGGCTGTCCAGTAACGCTGGCGAGTGCGACCAGCACGCGATCGACAACAACGAGCTGATGAGCGGGGAGGGGACGTGGAACACTCCTAACGGCAGGATCCCCGCAAGCTTCTACTGTACCGACTACAGGTACTTTGCCTGAATTTTGCTAGCAAAGTTCTCCGTTCGAAGGACTTCCAATTAGTCTCCACCAGACTTCTTTTGCGGGCTGAATAAATCGTAGATATTGGCATGAGAAGGTAGCCGGCCAGAGAAGCTCCATTTGCCCTTTTTAGGCCGATTTCTACGATTTATTCAGCCCGCAAAGAAGTCTGGTGGAGACTAGCTTCCAACACTGGCTACCGCAACAAGGAGGGGCACCACAACTGAGCGCACCACTCGCTCCAGTAACCAACTGAGTCTCACCAAATGTAAAACCAGGGTGTAGAACAGAGTGTTATAAACAGAGTAGCATTCATGACTTACCTCTTGAACAGTCATTGTTTGTCTTATTGACATCCATCATGGATGTTGCATGCCAAAGACTTTGTGTATTCTATTGATCTAGATATTTGTGTTAATGTTTGTGTAAATGAATATCGTTGTACAGCAGGGCGTAATTCAACCGTTGGCTGCAAGGTCCTTGTTTTTATTAATGAAATACCATTTGTTTAAAGTTTAAACTTTTGGTCCAACACAAAAAAATTATCTCACCTAGAGCTTTCGACCAGTCACTCTGGTCTTCCTCAGTAGACTGACCCAGTGAAGCTTGTCACGAAACTTGTCACGTGAAGTGTGACGTCAACACTGGGTCAAAGGTATCTGGTAGACGATGTCGGCCCCCGTCGCGGTTCAATGAAGGGTGATGAGCCCTGATGTAAATGGCTTCCTTCACCCCTCTCAAGAAATAGTCTTGTTCAGTCTCTAGGTGAGAGAATTTTTTGTGTTAGACCAAAAGTTTAAACTTTAAACATGTAACTACCAACACAGATGAACTTTCATGATAGAAATACCATTTGATTGATACAGCGTGCAGGAGGACTGGCAACAGGGCGTTAACACACTCACGGTCAACCTGCGCAACGCAACCACGGTCAGCAACGTAACCGCGGCCAACGGGACATACACCGTCAGGTGATGTTACGTTAACTCGTTGATGATACCTACTTGTTTGTTTATTTGTTTCGCATAACCGATAAACCTCCGAGTCCTAGGAGTAACACATGTACACCAGTTCTGTACAGCAAGAAGAAGCTGCGTAAGGCCATACGGATGTATGACGGACGCCTGGACAACAGCTGTTCGCCTGGACTATCCAGAACCGTGCCTGTCTAGTTCCATGCCTGACATAGGGTTAGGACCAGGCACGGTTCTGGACGTAGATTTGTCCCAGGCACGACTCTGGATAAGCCTAGACTGTCCAGAACTGAGCCTGAGCATAGTTCTGGATAAAACACGGTTCTGGATGAAACAGCCGTCCCTAACCGAAGCTAGGTACTCATTTTCACCTTTCACCACAGCTTTGACGGCTGCTGTTGGATCTCCGTCCTCCGTCCCGGAGGCGGCACCCACGATCCAGACTGGCAGGTCAGGACTCAGTTCGACATCGGCGTGAGAGGCGACACCGGCCGACCCAACTCCTCTCCCATCACTGCCAGCTCGGCTATACACAGGTAAGGGCTAAAATGTTGTGTTTTCTCTCCCCGTCAGTACACGCACAGGGTTTTACAATGTAAACTAACAGGACCAGGGCTGACATCAGGACCCGTCCCTCCGTTTGCTTGTGGGGAAGTCACGTCAGATCCGGAGCTAAAACATGTTCACACATGGGGAAATGCTTTTAGTACAGGTTAATGTTTTGGGCCAAAGGTAAGAGTCTTATAGACTTAAGACTCTGGCATACTGCAGTACACAATATAAAGTACGGTCAAATTCGTCGTAGGGTTGTACGTATTTGGTGAACCAACCGCCAACGAGGATCAATGTTCAGTACGGAATTTGCACGACTATCCTAAGAATGTCTTTCGTTTACGTTCGTACAACGAGGCTGCACCTGAACGTATTCAGTTCATTTAATCGTAATTCGTCCTAAAATTCCGTCTCACACACAATTCAACCGTCCTGCCCTGTAGGATCCAGAGCAGCTGTGACGCCGTAGTCCGGATCCCGACCGAAGACTCAGACGGCGACACCGTGAAGTGTTACTACTCCTCCGTGTTCCATGAGTGCGGGGAGGCCTGCGACCCACTGCCCTTCTCACACCTGGATGAGGTAAAATGAAATAATCATGACGTTCTTTCCCACAAAACCGACGCCTTTCCATGCACGATAGTCTTTTTTTTTGTATCCCAGTCATTTTTTCCGGATTCGCTCGGAAGCGTCTCCGTCACGATTCCGGACTCGGATTCCTAACCCTAACCCTAACCCTAGTCCTAGCCCTAGCCCTAGCCCTAACACTAACCCTAACACTAACCCTTAGCCCTAGCCCTAACCCTAACCCTAGCCCTAGTCCTAACCCTAACCCTAACCCTAGCCCTAGCCCTAGCCCTAGCCCTAGCCATAGCCCTAGCCCTAACACTAACCCTAACACTAACCCTTAGCCCTAACCCTGACCCTAACCCTAGCCCTAGCCCTAGCCCTAGTCCTAACCCTAACCCTAACCCTAACCCTAACCTTAACCCTAACCCTAACCTTAACCCTAGCCCTAGCCCTAGCCCTAGCCCTAACACTAACCCTAACACTAACCCTTAGCCCTAGCCCTGACCCTAACCCTAACCCTAGCCCTAGCCCTAGCCCTAGCCCTAGCCCTAGTCCTAACCCTAACCCTAGCCCTAGCCCTAGCCATAGCCATAGCCCTAACACTAACCCTAACACTAACCCTTAGCCCTAACCCTGACCCTAACCCTAACCCTAGCCCTAGTCCTAGTCCTAGTCCTAGTCCTAGCCCTAGTCCTAACCCTAACCCTAACCTTAACCTTAACCTTAACCCTAACCCTAACCCTAACCCTAACCTTAACCCTAGCCCTAGCCCTAGCCCTAGCCCTAACCCTAACACTAACCCTGTACTTACACTATAGGACACCTGTGAGATCTCGTACAACACGTCCCACGGCATGCTGACGCCTGGCTGGTACGCCATAGCGCTAACCCTACCCTAACCCTAACCCTAACCCTAACCCTAGCCCTAACACTAACACTAACACTAACACTAACACTAACACTAACACTAACACTAACCCTGTACTTACACTATAGGACACCTGTGAGATTTCGTACAACACGTCGCACGGCATGCTGACGCCCGGCTGGTACGCCATAGCCTTGACCCTGGAAGACTATCCGCCGGGAGCGCCAAGAACAGCCGGGTCCGGACTCAGCAGGGTGCCTGTGCAGTTCCTGGTCGACGGTAGGTGCATGTGTGTGTGTGTGTGTGTGTGTGTGTGTGTGTGTGTGTGTATGTGTGTATACATGTATTTATGTCCTACCTGGGCCGCGATTACATTCGATACGGGGGTTCCGGCCCGTGTGATAACTAGCGGTACGGCCCGGGGGTTCTTAACGCGTACGGCCCGGGCCTTCCAAATGTTCCACAGAACGATTCGAACGCGTTTCGCCCTAACCGTGTGCAACGCTTTCAAAAATTCGAGTGCAAAATTCGGACGTTGGAATTGATGTTGTTGCGTTTTTGGGGATTAGGGACACCAATTTTTTGCTCATTTCGCATTGAAAGGCGTGTTTTCGTGGGTGGGTATGACATAAATAAAATACAACACGGTGTATTCCGCATCGCCCTCGGTCCCAGCCCTCCCGCCGATTTGGATCTCCCTCCGGCCTTCGGCCGTCGGGCGATCCGACGCGCGGTCGGGCTGGTACCTCGGGCAATACGGAATACCCCGTGTTGTATTCTATATGTATGTGTGTGTGTATGTGTGTGTATACATGTATGTGTGTGTGTGTGTGTGTGTGTGTGTGTGTGTGTGTGCGTGTGTGTGAGTGTGTATGTGTGTAGGCCTGAATGGATCCTGATGATATTTGGTATGTAGGTAGGTCTTGGGATGAGCAATGGCACTGTAGTTTATGGGCCTCCTTATGGCTTTCCTGGGTACTACAGTAGAATGTTTTTGTGTCTTTTGTCTTGGACATGCTATGGCCTTTATTTTTTGGTGGTACAGATAGCTTTTCCCCTGGCAGCTTGTTCTGGAACTGCAGGGGCATTTCTGTTCGTGTATTTACTTTCTGCTCATTTGCGTATTTTTCGTTTATTATGGGTTCACCACACCACGAAGTGGTGTGGTGAAACCATATTGCTTTTTCTGATGTTTCTTCTCCTTCTCCTCCTCCTTCTCCTCCTCCTGCCATATCTTTAAATGGATTCAGCTTCTTCATTTTAGGGCCTAAGGTCCTGAAATTTGGTATGGAGGTACAGTGGGCAAATACCCCTAGGCGTTTTTTAAATTATTGTGATACAGGCTTTTAGAATGGTTTTATTTGAGTTTTTTGGCTGTGTAATAGCTAATGTATTACTGTGTAAGTGTGCAGTGTTTACCACATTTGGACATGAGTCATCACAATGGCATGCAAGGCATCAACCAATAGGCATGCAGCTTTCCTCTATTCTCCTTGCTGATTGGCTGTTGGGATTTAACTGGCTTAACTTCATTTACACCTGCACAGAGCCATGCCATACTGACAGTATGTCTGTATTCAAGTGTTTTGGTAGGTATTTTAAGCTTTCCTGCTCCAGCATTGGAATGCGGGCTATGAACGCTTCTTTTTATCTTGAAAAATCAACAGTTTGCATTATGCAATCCTAACCAATAATGTAGGGAATAGCTATCCAACTGTTGTAGTCTTAGTTGTATGTTACTTCATACTATAGTTATATCAATGTAAAGCATTGTTTTCCCTTGTGTTTCTCATTCTTTCCCTGCCATGTGGTAAAATGTGGTGAACCCATCGCTATATTTGCTCCAAAGCAAATATTGGCCTTTCTAGTTTCCTTTTCATTTGTTCCCTCCATCCAGCTTACACCTCTAACACCCCGTGCAACCTGAAGCCCCAGCTGATCGGACAGACGCCTGAGGCCGGGGACAGGGTGGTCATACCGGCCGGGGGCACTTATCATGCAGTTATAGAGGCGGAGGCACAGAGTCCCGGAGCTACGTGAGTGAGTGAGTGAGTGAGTGAGTGAGTGAGTGAGTGAGTGAGTGAGTGAGTGAGTGAGTGAGTGAGTGAGTGAGAGAGTGAGTGAGTGAGTGAGTGAGTGAGTGAGTGAGTGAGTGAGTGAGTGAGTGAGTGAGTGAGTGAGTGAACAGAGGCCGGGGACAGGGTGGTGGAACCTACCATGCAGTTATAGAGGCGGAGGCGCAAAGTCCGGGAGCAAGGTATGGACATAGCAAGCTTCATTCTAACGATATGCTAAACCACAATCTGCATACGTATCTGTATAGCCGGTTTACGGCCCTTGGCGTAACACACCACCTTCTGTATCTTGCGGCTGGTTATATTACATCATCATCATCAGGTCGGGCGAATTGCCCGGACCAAGTCCACTCTTTCTCGCCATGCCGCTCTGTCCGCCATTAACTGCCCTAGGTGTTCGGCCCTCACCCCAGCATCTTCAGCAAGTTGGTGGATGAAGGTACGATGGGGTCGCCCTGCGCTGGAGTGTCCATGGGTTGGTGCCCAGAGTAACAGCTCACTAGCGAGCTCGTCTTTGTGTCTGTAGCAGTGTCCAGCAAATCTGGCCCTCCTCTCCCGTATGGTGGCTGACACAGATGGTAGAGTCCCATACAGTTCTGCCTTGGTCGGATGTTTTTTCCAGCTTTTGTTGAGCACTGCACGTAACATACGTGTGTACGTTCCGTCAAGTTTGTTCTCAAGTTTCCTTGTCAGTGTCCACGTTGATGAGCCATACAGAAGCACAGATTCCACCACCGCCCTGAAGAAATTCCTTTTAATGTTGTCTGACAATGTGGATTTCCATATTGTCCTTAGGTCGTTAAGTGCCCCCCAAGCTTTTGCTATGCGAATGCAGACGTCCTTCTCAGTGGAAGAAATGTCACCTCCCAAATAGGTGAAATGTTCCACCTCATTGAGATAGGTTCCATTCAGGGACTGAATCTTGCCATGTTGGTTAAAGCAGATATATTCAGTCTTTTTGGCATTGACATACAGTCCTATCCCGGATGCAGCCTCTTCCAGTGCATGTAGTAGGGTTTCCACATCTGCGACTCTGTTTGCAAGAAGTGCAAGGTCATCTGCATAGTCAGCATCTGTGATCCTCTTGGCAGGGTGCCTTCTACTCCTAGCTCGCTCCAAAGTGAAACCGAGCTTGTTGTGTGGGTCGACAGAGGTACGCAGAATATAATCTAATGCAATGATGAAGAGAAATGGCGCAAGGGTGTCCCCTTGTAGCACTCCAGCATGAATGTTGAAAAAGTCTGTGTCCCCGTCAGGTGATCGAACCATGGATCTTGTGTCCTTGTAGAGCATCATCACAGCGTCTACTGTTTCCCTCGGCACACCATAGGCTCTCAGTATATCAGCCATTTTCTCTCGATGAAGCGAATCGAAAGCCTTGGAAAAATCCACAAACAGCATGACAGCCTCCAGGTTTTTTGCTCTGACACCTTCAATGATTCTTCTCACCGTCAGAATCTGCCCCATAGTTGATCTGTTCTTTCTAAAACCATTCTGGTTTGGACGAAGGACTTTTTCAATTTCAGGTTGGATTCGATTACGCAGCATAGCATTGTAAACCTTAGCAGCAATTGGCATGAGTGTAATGCCTCTGTAGTTAGCAGTGAGGGACAGGTCTCCTTTCTTGGGGAAAGGAAGTATGCAGCCTTCCCTCCACACCTGTATCCCATCCTGCTTGTACACCCCATTACAACATTCCAGCAGTATATATTACACTAAGCGACCTAACACACGACACACCTAATCTTTGCTGTGTTGTTTCAAGTTGTCCACTGACGATACCTGCACATGTACTTGTACTTGGTAGCAGCAACTTCCACTGTACGATAGGTCCTGGAGAAAAAAAAATGCCTTAAATCTTTGTTTGTTCCTTTGATACTAGCCGTGGCGACTCTTGATTCGGGCTTACATTGCATCTTGCGGAGGGTAATGCAATGTAAGCCCGAATCAAGAGTCGCCCCGGCTACTTTGATACCTGATACTTAACCTACAGACAATGTCCTTGGTGCTGAAATGGGGGGGGGGGGCTTGTGTGCTGCAGGAAAAACGTTATGGTTTGCTCGCTTTCAAAGACCTTCTAATGTTGCCTGTTTTTCACTCTTACTGTGTCTTACTTATTATAACAGTATCGTGGAAATTGCAACAGTTTCCCCACGTGGGATGATCAAGTCAGACCTGGTCAACGATCCCGACATGCCCCACCACGCCTACGTCAACATCACGTGGTCGCCGACCCAGGCGCAACTCGGACAGCACATTTTCTGTTTCCGGGCTCAGGACAGCAACATGTAAGATGATACACTTCCCCCATGACGATTGACTCAATAATCCATCTTTGACACTGTAAGGTTTTATACACTATTTTCGTACTCAAAGTAAAGCACTTAACAACAAGCTTTTGATCATTCCTGATCCTTGTTTAGAGTTAAAACTTTATATCCAACACCAAACGTTCTCTCACGCAGAGCTTTCGACCAGCCACTCTGGTCTTCCTCTGTGGACTGACCCAGTGAGGCTTGTCACATGATTTCTTTGAAGTGTGACATCAACACTGGGTCAAAAGTATCTGGTAGACGATGCCGTCTCCGTCACGGTTGAGTGGAGGCTGATGGGCCCTGATGTAAATAGCCTCTTTCACTCCTCTCAGGAAGTAGTATAGACAAGAACAATAAAAAGAAGCCACATGACAAGCCTCACTGGGTTAGTCTACTGAGGAAGGCCAGAGTATCAGTGACTTTCATGATTGTTTGTGTAAGATGATACACTGCCCCCATGATGCTCGATTCAATCAAAATGCTGGAATAAATCCTTTTTTTTTAAAGTAAATTCATCTATGACACTGTAAGGTTTCATACGCTGATTCTGTACTCAAAGTAAAGCGCTTACCAACAAGCGTTTGATCATTCCTTTCATCCTTCTCAACTTGAAATAACCAAATCTGTCACGTGACATGAACGAAAGGTAGACGTCATCAACGGGTGAAAGGTGCCCGGTAGTCTGTATCAGCCCCCTACTCGGTCGAAAATGTTTTATTCACGTTTTCCAGAGGCCTGCTTTATTTTGTTATTTGTTATACAAATTTAGATGACCCCAAATCTGAAATGAAGGAAGCACAGCAAAAAGAAAGAGAAACAACATAAGAGGGCAGAGTACTAAGTTATCATAATCGTCTATCTACTCTGTATTGTAGCAATGAACCTCCTTGAGCCTAGATTTCTCAAGAATACATGTACAAATGGTTGTTTTCTTTCACTTCCACAGGGAGAACTCTGACCAGCGGTGCATGACTCTTGTGTACATGGGTAAGATGAACTACTAGTACTTTCACTCAACCATTGAAAGATTTATTGAAAGAACATTAGATGATCGATATTGCTCCATAGTTTGCTCGATAAAAATCCATCAGCGCCCAAGCAAGGAGTGTAAAGATTTTTATCCTCCTTTGCCCAGCGCAATCCGTGCTTTTGAGTCCCAAGTGCCGCAAATCCATTCTATCATGATCTGGAAGCAAGCTGCATCTGACAATAAAAGATATTCATTGAAAGTCGGATGTTAATACTTATGATGATATACATGTACGGAATAAATATTTTTGGGAGGCTAAGCTACATGGCTTTGTGTGTCTGTTTTGTTTGGACATAGTAGGTTGACAGTACTTGGATGGGAAAGGATTGACAGGCAGAATGACAGGAGGTCAAGGGGTCTGAAAATGGGGTGAGAACGTAAAGGTCACAGAATCTGGCTGGGAGCCAGCATGAATCATAGATGTCGACATGGGGAGTTTGGAAAGCCGAGGATTACATACTTCCCGGAAGACCGAAATCTCTGATTTCTTGTTGTAGATAGATTGGTGTTGACATCATGTTCACTGTTTCTAGGGACCCACGATGTTGACGAGTGTCGGGACAACAACGGCAACTGTTCCCACGCATGCGTCAACACAGTCGGGTCGTACCACTGTGCCTGCCCGGCGGGGATGTTTTTAAGTCTGGAGGACAACAAGGAATGCGAGGGTACTAATACTATTATCCAATGTGTTTCTTGTACATACAATGCATGACAAATGAATTATGCATGCCTTTTTCAAACTTCTCTTCAATGTTGATAGGCTAGCACCTTTCTGTAATGGTGCAGTCACATTCATCATAGAACGTCGTATGATTTTAAGGCTGTGACAGAACCTATTTCCAACAAAGATCTAGGGCACCCTTTTCTGTAACAAGACTGTTGAATTATGTACAACACATGCACGAGTGCCCCAAGAATGCCCTCAGTTTGCATCCTACGACGATCGTAGGACCAATGTAACCGGGTCCTAAAGGTAGTGTGGTACCATATCATGGATCCACTTATCCGTGGCAAGCCTTTTGTGTAGTAATCACGTGACTGGCTACTATTATCATACAAAAGGATTACCTAGTCGCCACGGCTAGGATCCACTACAAAGACTTCTTCTTTTTGCATATTGCAATTGATTTCAAATGTCTTACAAGCTCGTTTTTTTGCCCTTTTCTAAGACATCGATGAATGTGCCCGGGACCCAGGCATATGTCATGCCAACGCGGCCTGCATCAACATATGGGGGTCGTACATCTGCGAGTGTGACCCGGGATATTTCGGGGATGGAACAACATGTATAAGTAAGTTAACACAGCATTGCACATTTTAGAGGAGTTCTAAACTCTTCATCATCATTTAATGCAAGCGTTATCTTCTATATTTCAGTTTCGTGTCAGACCATACTGTGGACATTATTGTATTCTACATCACAAATTCATCATATTTCATGAGTTTAAAACATGGTGTTCTTTTGCAATATGAGTAAAACAGACATAAAACAGACCTGAAAAACTCATAGTATTGATTTATCCATATACCTGTATGTAAGTTCAAGTTCATTTCTTACATTTGTATGTGACTGTGTGTGTGTGCATGTGTGTGTGTGCGTGTGTGTGTGTGTGTGTGTGCGTGTGTGTGTGTGCGTGCGTGTGTGTGTGTGTGTGTGTGTGTGCGTGTGTGTGCATGTGTGTGTGTGTGAGTGTATCTCTGTGTTATGTCTGTCTCTGGTGCTGAAATAGTTGTAGAAGACTTTATGAAAGTCTCTGTACTTAGGTGTCAATAAATAATTTCTGTATGTTATTCAGTTGACATAGACGACTGCGCCAACGGGACCCACGGTTGCCACGAGCATGCGCACTGCATCGACCTGCCGGGGTCACATGACTGCATCTGTGACGCAGGGTTTGTCGGAGACGGCGAAACTTGTACAGGTGAGACTGCATTATTTCGGACCTGACCTCAAATATTCACACATAGTTCCTTCTTTGTTATGTATCTGTATAGCCGGTAGTTTTATGTCTGAAAGGGTCAGGGTGAGGATCAGGTTTGGTTCTTGATAGTCTCCATGTAGATTTGAATCAAGCACGGTTCTGGATATGTTTTAAACTATCCAGAACACAACACCTATTAACTGTAGCTGTTAGTTCAGCACCAAGGACAGTACAAGCCCAAGCACAAATATATGATTTTATATGGCATGGTTCTGAATAGTCTCCTCAAATATAAGAACATAGACTTGCTCCTGGCAAGGTTCTGGATTCGTGTAGAGTATTCTCCAGTGCAATTTTACATCTGTACATCCTTCTGTTTAACTTTATATGCAGACTAACTTTTGTCCTTATGTTTGCAGATGTTAACGAGTGTGCTGAGGGTGTGCACATGTGCCCCACCAACGCCAGCTGCACCAACATGCCCGGCTCTTACACCTGCAAGTGTGACCCGGGACACGAGTGGGATGGGACCGCATGTTCAGGTGAGAATAAGTACGACTTCTAGGGATTTCTGAGGAGTTATGGATAATAGAAAATTACACTCTGCAAGGGGGGGTCCCGACAACGCTCTACTGAAACTTCTTGATTACGCTTGATACGCTTGATTACGATAAATTCCAAGTGCTACAATTCATTACATAGAATTAAAATGGCGAATAGGCTCTACGCAAAATGCGCAAATTACACTCTACGCTGAATTGAATAACATTTCTGCTACCTGAATAACATTTCTGCTACCTGAGAGGGAAAATGAACTCTATGGAGACCAAAATCCCCTGGTAACTTATTCTCCCTATTTAGCCAATTTCACTATTTTCAGCCCATGTTTTTAGTCTGGTGGAGAGTTGGTATCCTGCATGTTATCATGTGACTCTTTTTACAGATTTCGACGAGTGTTCTGTCGACAATGGGAAGTGCGAAGATATCTGCATCAACACGGTTGGAGGTCATCAGTGCGCATGCTCCAACAGCCTTCTTGTTCTCGCAGAGGACGGTCTAGGATGTACACGTAAGATAAATACTAAATTATAGCTCTTCAATGATTATGATCACTGATGAGAAATATTATCTCATTATTTTATTTTCATGAACGCAGATTCACAACACCATTTGGTTTTGTGATGATGTTCGTTCCTAATGGGGCACTACAGGGCTAGCCTGGATGGCATCATATGTAGTTACCACTGACTCCCTAGGGAGCTGGCAGTTAACTACAGAGGATGGAACCCAGGCTACTATACAGGACTTCAACAACCAAGTAATTACATGGCCTGTCACTAAAACATGGTGGACTGACACACAATCATGCAAGTCAGAAGGTGCAGTCACATTTGTCGTACGATTTTGATGAAGAATTCTTAGGTAAGGCCTTTCCATAAAGAGACAGATACAGCTGAGTTTTGCAGGACAGTGTGCATGACCGTGCCAAGGATGCCCCCAGTTTGCATTTATATAATGATCGTAAGACAAATGTGACCAGACTCTTACACACAATATCGTATGCAATGATGAAAACCATCCTCTTCCAGTTGTTGGGGCGGAGACCACCTGCACCAATGAGGGAATGGAGCTGGCTTTACCCGAGGAGCAGCTCGCGCTCGTCAACACTAATGACCTGCACTGGGCTCCAGACCAGAACTGCCGGGCAGTGTTCAACGGTACACACCACCTGCTAAGGACTGGCCTGTACCAGTGTGGCACTACGGTAAGTACTAGGTTGGCTTGGTTACCCATCCTGTTGTTATTTATTAAATGCTAATTGCATGATGGGCATGTACATTGTACTTACAATTAGCCTACAGGCAAGAACTTGCAATAAAACTTTCTACAAGCTGAAGAGTAAGACCTAAGACTATAGGGTATGAACCACTCACACCTAGCCTTTTCGACAAGTACGGTGAGTTCGTTCACATGGTCGAGATATGGCTCTCCTCAAACATGGGACTAGAGGACATCCTAAACAAGAAGCTGGGCACTCATTTTCACCAAGTCGAATAAAGAAACAGGTGTCAAAATGCCTTAACTAAAGGTGAATACAGCATACTGTACAGAAGATTTTGATACAAATTGCATATGAAAATGTTTTTACTCATCAGGTAACCTTTGACTCAACCTATGTCATCTTCACCAACCTGATCAGCCTCATCAACATCCACAACGCAACAGGCATCATCACCCGTGACGATGACATCATCATCTACTCCAAGTACGTATCACAGAGAACACTTTTGGGTGGCGCTCGGGTATTCCAAGTGAGTGGGTGGGTGGAGACTGGGATTGTCAGCAGGCAGTTGATTGACAGGGTTGTGACCCAGTATGCCCTGGGTGTGAGGATGTGGTGTGAGGTGGCTAGGAATGTGTACTATGTAATCATGGTATGAAACATAAGCCATGCTGTAATACTGGCAGGAGTGAGTTACGTCATACAATCGTATGAGTAGTAATCTATTATATGACCTAATTTAATCAGGTATTTCCCCATTATCATACAATACAGTTCTGCCAGCAATGTCCAAGCCTAAAGTAAATGAACTTTAAGTACCAGATAGCAGATCACTTCAGCCAGGTAGGAAGATCACTTCTGGTTGAAGTTGCTCATCCCTTCACCGGATCATCATTTCTGGCCTATATGGGAGCCTGCATGGGGGGTCCCGACAACGCTCTACACTAAATTTTGAGAGACAGCTACGTATTACGCTGAATTCAGGAAACCTCCCGATTAAGCTTTACGTTAAATCCAAGTGGCAGTACAACGCATTACGTAGAAATAAAACGGCGAATACGCTCTACGCAAAATGCGCCAATTACGCTCTACGTTGAATTAGAGCAGTCCGTCTACGCTCTATGTAGGATTAAAACAGCCGATTACGCTCTGCGGCATGCGGGTTCCCTTATATGCGGACAGTGGAAAAGCTGTGTAATGTACATTGTCAACTTGTGCATTTCTCAGGTGCAAGTACGAGCGGGAAGAGGACGTGTCTGCACAGTTCATGCCCATCCCCGGCGGACTGGAGTTCACGGAGGTCGGGTTTGGCACGCTGTCCATCCGGCTGGACATGTTCCACTCCCAGCACTACCTCCAGCCTTACACAGTCACCGAGTACCCGGTAAGTACTTAGTACTTGCAAAGCGAATTGTGATGAGTTAGCTAGACAAAAATTAGTAACACGCTTGACATTAACTTAACATAAATTACACACACAAAAAAAAACAATTGAGCTAGGAATGGGAATCAATGTAATATTTGTTACTCACAGTCCAACTTTAACTTCTTTCATCATGGTCTGATACTGCACAGTTTGATGTGCTTTTGGTATATTATGTGCAATTGATGTGCATATGTCGTACACTCAAGTACCAGCAATTGTCTACAGTCTGTGATAGTTGTCTAGTTACAAGTCTGAAAACCAATGGGCTGACTTTAATACTGTTCTAAGCTGCTCTCACCAGCTAGTCTGCTATTGGTCATGGAAATTAACCACTTGCTAATAAAATAAGGTCTAACCAGCATATGTACACCCTGTTACAGGTACACAAGAGCCTCAGAGACAACCTGTACTTCCAGCTGCAAGTGGAAGGGCACAGCCAGCGTCTGTCCATCCTTGCGCTGAGCTGCAAGGCTACCATGTCACCCAACAAGGACGATGCACTGCAGTATGCGCTCATTGACGACGGGTATGTACATCGGTGTTGGAGCATTCAGTGAATAATTCACTTTTCGAATGTCAAGCATGCTGTTGTATCTTCTATGTCTAGTTAGGATGAAAACTTGCTGAAGGAACAGACTGTATGACAAAGAAGTCGACAAATTCAAGATGTAAGCCTGGCCTGGCCATATGATAGGTGCAGCTTCCTCTTAACATAACAGTTAATTATTGATTGTTCCTTTTCCAACCACAAGCTGTGCTGTTGACGAGACCCTGCAGTTCTACAGCAGCTACAACCTGGCCACTCAGCAGTTCGGCTTCGAGGCCTTCCGCTTCATCCGGGAACTCCGGACGGTGTACATCCACTGTGAGGTGGAGGTGTGCGATGCATCCGAGCCCGGATCTCGCTGTGCACAGGTTTGTTTGTTTGTTTGTTTGTTTGTTTGTTTGTTTATCTGTGTATGTCCACTGTGAGGTGGAGGTGTGCAATGTAGCCGAACTCTGGTCACAGTGTGCATAGGTCAGCACAAACTTGAACAATTCTGCTGTACTGTACAACATATGTAGCAATTTGTAAAGCCGTAAAAATCTTACTTCAAAAAAGACTTGCACTTGATCCAAGCACGTCTAACTGCCAGTTTCGGGGGAAAATGACATTAAAGTTGGATAAGAAGAAGAAGCGTCAAACAGTTGACAACTCTTTTTTGAGGGTGAAAACAGTCAAACTGAATAGGTAAAAAATACTAACAGTGTGTTCAGCACCAAGGACAGGTGCCACCACCAGGGTGTACTAGTAACCAGTGTTCACTGAGACTCGCTGAATTATTTTTTCACCTTAAAATCTATCCTGCTACACTGCCAGGTGGACTCAGAAACCATCAAGCTTCCACCAATGCCTGAAAATCGTGCAGTGATCAAGAGGATGCCGGTGTATTGCTGGCAAAAATGCCCTTTACTTTTGTTTTAATGGACGAGTAAAAGTATTGCCACCTCCTCCTAAATTCAAAAGTCTTTACTCTAAATGCAGGGTTGCGCTCCCGGTGCCCGCCGCAAGAGGGCGCTGTCCGACATGACCGGAAGGCACGACATCTTCCAGGGACCCATCGTCTGGGACGAAACTGAGAGCGGTAAGCAGAATCAGTTTCTGTATCTGTATAGCCGGTATAACCACCCTTCGGCGTAACACACCAGCTTCTGTATCTGTATAGCCGGTATAACCGCCCTTCGGCGTAATACACCAGCTTCTGTATCTGTATCTGTATAGCCGGTATAACCGCCCTTCAGCGTAACACACCAGCTTCTGTATCGGTATAGCCGGTAAAACCGCCCTTCGGCGTAACACACCAGCTTTGCAGGCACGCGGCGTGGCGGCAGCTAGCTGTATCACACCGAACGGCTTGCTCATTTTCTCTGGAATGTAGTCATGTTTTCCGAACATCTCTGGTATAATCCATTTCTTCTGAACTATTGACAAAGTATCTGAATATTAAATTTCATCAGTTTTCTTGAATGATCGAACATCGAAAAGTTCTTTATTCACAACCACTTGTTTACAACAGACAACGTTTTGAAGACTGTCTGTCTTCTTCATCAGTGCAATTATGACTGGTTCACTGTGCACAGAAGCTACGTGTTACTGCTAACAATGCGGCCCCAAACATAAAGTGACAATGATATACATAGATACATGTATGTGTTACAACAATGGTGGGATATGCAAAATAATGTACAATCTATCTTATCATGAAAGTTCATCTGTGTTGGTAGTTACATGTTTAAAGTTAAAACTTTTGATCCAACACAAAGAAATCTCTCACCTAGAGCTTTTGACCAGTCACTCTGGTCTTCCTCAGTAGACTGACCCAGTGAAGCTTCAAAGAAGCCACATGACAAGCTTCACTGGGTCAGTCTACTGAGGAAGACCAGAGTGACTGGTAGAAAGCTCTAGGTGAGAGATTTCTTCGTGTTGGATCAAAAGTCTTCACTTTAAACATACAATCTATCTTACCTATCTTTTATTTTCCACAGAGAGCAAGGTTGCCTCCCTCAGTACCGGTGCGCTGGCAGCTGCGGTCAGCCTGGGCTCGCTGGTCACCCTGATCGCCCTGGCTGCAGTTCTGGTGGCCGTCAGAGTGAGGCGCTCCAGGAATAGGCGTGCGGCTGAGTACCAACCGGTCCAGACTGACTGCGACGACTGAGGACACGTTTAAAGATTGCTAAAACATTCCAGCAACTGCTGAAGTCACAACAACGACTATCATTTGAAACATTTTTTTATTGCAAGCTTAATCCATAAATACAAGACATGAACACATTCTAATACAAATAATAATTTTTTATTGCATTGGCCAAAGACAAGTACAAATCAGGTCCTTTTTTTACGCCACATTTTTTTGTGATATTCAGAAACATCTTTTATTTTTCCATCACAGAAAATATCTTACCTTAGTGTAGCCTGGGTAACAAACCTTTGGTCAGCTTTGGGGTGATTTTCCTGCCCCAGCCCGTGGTCTTTACTAAGCACAGGCCAGCTAAACCGTTTGCAAAAAGCTGGTTTGATGGCCCGAAACGCTACCAGCCCTGAAGAGATAGCACTCAGAGCTTACGGGGGTCTGGCTACCATGCTAACTTTAGTGTGACTTTGGTGCAAATTAGGAAACAAATCCAAAACGCTGTATGCAAATGTGATTCAGTGTAAGCAATTTTTTATGTTTGTAAACGTGGCTGCTATTCAACAAGACGAAAGGTGGGGCAGCAGCTCCAACTTTGATGAAAGGTTGCATTCTGCTTTGTTGCTGTAACTTTGATTATGTGTGATACAATAAAGGATGCATTTGTTGCACAAAGCGTTTGTACTATGTGTACACGTATATACTGGATGTTGTGTAGGAATCAAGTTTCTGCCAAGTAGCGTTCTGGAAATACTTTGTGGAGGTCCATCAAATTTTTATTTGCTCAGCAGTCCCAGCCAATGCTGGAAAAGGGGTTTTACAAAGAACATACAAAGATCAACAAAGGTAAGGCTCACCACAATTTATTCAATTGTCAATTATGTGGACTCTTGTCGTGTGAGTTGAACATGAAATAATTGGCTGTTTCATCATCATGATTGTAAAATGTCCAAAGATCTCACATCACATTAACTACAGTATGGTCCCCCTTCAATGGAAAAAGCTGCACTTTGGACTCGCAAATTGGTGTTATTGTGTGGAGTTGCATATTATAGAGTTGAGAAGATATAGGATGAATCTGCATGAAGTTACTCTTAGCAATTGGTGATATCACTTAAGAAAAACAGGAACCTTCACAACTGATGTTCGTACTTTGATGTTTTGTGTAAAGCTATCATTTACCAAGACAAGTAGTGTTGTTACAAGAGCTGTCACTTTTGTAACTCCTAACGACTGACTTGGATGCTTAGCTCTGATGGGCCCTGGCATGGGAAGGGTTAACTTAGTCATTACACACATGATCTATAGCAGTAGAGATGCTCACAGAGCTTTCCTCTACTTCCAACCAGTTACCTCCTCCACCTAGGAATGTTTCAAGGCTTCGTTTGGGCAGGAATGAAACTGTGATCCTACTCTGTAAACAAGCTATCGTCCTTAGTAGGTTCTACAAATTGGGCTTTTGGGCGGCATAAGTTTTCTGACTTTTTCCTTGTGCGCCAAAACTCAGTACCGAGAACTGATATGCCATTAAAAAAAATGTCAGAAGCCCCCAAAAAGCCTGACTCATAGAGCCTTCCATGGTGGCCAGCATAAAACAAAGGGAGAGCTTTTCGTACCATGTAGGAACTACAAGTAGGAAATACAAGTAGGAAATACAGTAGTCATACCTAAAACCAGATTTCTCCAACTTACTCTTGTATTCACTTACTTCTTACAAAGTTGACATTTTGCAGCAGCTTTGGAAATTGTTACACACTACAAAATTTTTAGTGATTTTTGCTTGTTGTGGTGTGCATGCTTGTGATCATAACTGCCCTTCCCCCCCTGTCATTTCTGATATCTACAGAAGATAGTAAGATGTAAGCAGAATCAAAATTGTTCATCTAATGTACAAATGTATTGGGCCTTTCTGAAATTGCATTATGATATAGCCTCCACCAGGCCTTCCTAAGGGGTTATGGATAGTAGAATTCGGCAAATACAGGGTGAACAATTGGCCGGGAGAGAGCCAAAGTTAGGGCAACATTTTCCCTTTGTTTAAGCAAAAGAAACCGTATGGTGACCAAACTCGCCTCGCCAATCACTCTCTCTGTCTGGCTAAATATCACTATGTCTATTTCTCAGCCATCATGTTAGTCTGGTGGAGACTACTCATGACATGTTATGCTACAAATAACATTGCCTCTTCAGCTAGCTATTTGTACACTTGTTGACGGTGTTCAGACTGCAGATGTGAGTTAAAGTACGACACGAAACACAAAGATAGTACACACTGCCGCAGCAGTCGGGTGTTTAGAAGACCACAATAGTTCTCTTTTTTTCATGTCTCTTGCATTCGCTGACATATACATAATAAAGCTATCTGCACGGTAATGTATGGACTGACTACGACGTGGAGTTAATGTTTTTCTATCTTAATCTTAAGCTGTTTGTGTTGACTTAAAGCTCGTCCTTCGCGTGTGTGGCTTTCCTCTTCAGGAAGGACATGAAGTCGTCAACTTCTCGCCCACCCTGCAGAAAAATCAATGAATCAACAAGAAGGGTGACATTAGTACAGCAAATATATAATGTTTACTGTCACATTGTCTACCCCAACTAACTACTGCTCTGTTTATTCGCACTCAAACATATTCATTTGTATATGATGTCCGGCCCCTTCAACTCTGTCCTGCCACTTGCTACATAATCTAACCCAACAACACAGGGTGTCTGCTACAGCACCAGTTTTCACAAAGACAGCCCTCTGGTCCAGGTCAATGACCTTATTTGTTTACAAAGGGATCATTCGAGTGATAACAACTAAGGTAAGGCTACTTACATTGTATTTTTCTGGATTGTCTTTTCCACCTATGGGGGCCCAGAATATCGTTGGGAATCTACAAACAAAGTGGACAATAAGAATGGTAAGAACGTCATATAAACAATGAAGGACAACATGTGAATATTCTAAATAATTACCTTAAAAAAATTAATGTACATCTTTAAACGCAATTCAGCTTTCAGCTGCAATGTTTGTGATATTAAGCAATAAACCATTTATGATAATGCAAAGACAAAAAAATGAGACAAACTCACCCTGAGACTTTGAAGCTGCCAGGTGTGTCATTAGCTGTGGCATCCATTTTGGCGATGACGATGCTTTCTGTATCCTTCAACTGTAATGACACATATAATACATCAATCAGAGAAGCCAAGTCACAAGCCTCAATGGGTCAGTTTATTGAAGAAGACCAGAGTGACTGGTCAAATCTCTAAGTGAGAACAATCACTTTTGTTGGAACAAAAATTTTAACCTAAACATGTAACTACCAACACAAATGAACTTTTCTAATACACTGATTAAGTTGAAGGACACAACATTGAGAAAGCAAATTACTTACTTATTATTTATCTAAAGGACTACCTTGTGGGCGCCATGATGGATAAAGCGGATTGCAGATCGAGGGAGAGGGTTCTGGACTGGGAAACCCCAACCGAATGATCATCTATCAGTTACTGATGTTATTTATTGTCCAGTCACCGCCAATTTCTGGCATTTTGAGAGGCAAGTCATGGCAAGACAGTGATTGTCAGTGGTCCTTGGGATGTTCTTATATTTTGAACCAAGGCTTTTGTTGATTTTGACCGTCAAGGGTTGGATTAAAACATTTTCAGTCACACACCACAACGTTCTGGCAATTGACAGAAAAACAGGTGCTGGCTAGAGCCCCGTCTCTAACGTACCTTTTCTCCGAGCTCGTCCCATTTTGGCGCCAGGTTCTTGCAGTGGCCGCACCACGGGGCGTAGAACTCGATCAACACGTCTTTGGTCTCGTCCATCACAATCTCATCAAAGTTCTCCGCCACAACAACCTGGGAAACAGACCATAAGTCATGTCACAAGTCTCATCATCTAGTCGTGAGAGTCTCTCGGTGAACAGAACAAAAAGGACTATGATGATGTTTAAAGTTAAACCTTTTGATCCAACACAAAAATTCTCTCACCTATAGCTTTCGACCAGTCACCCTGGTCTTCCTCAGTAGACTGACCCAGTGAAGCTTGTCACGTGGCTTCTCAGTCTACTGAGGAAGACCAGAGAGACTGGTTGAAAGCTCTAGGTGAGAGAATTTTTATGTTGGATGAAAAGTTTTAACTTTAAACATGTAACTACCAACACAGATGAACTTTCATGATACATTATGATGATGATAACAAAGAAAGGTTCAAACAGTTATTCACAACTGCAGAAAGCAAGATACCAGCCCAGAAGAGAACAAGAAATAGCCATGCTTTCAAGTACCAGAGTTATCAACCAAGGCTTGAGGTGTTCAAGAATTCATTCTTTCCTAGAACTATCGCAGAGTGGAACTCACTGTCACCAAGTACAGTAGGGGCATTGTCAATAGATAGCTTTAAACAAAGTCTAGAGCTAGAAGTGCAAGGGTTAGGTGTAACAAGTCGATCGGTGTAATGTAGCCAGCTGCCGCCGCGCCGCGTGCCTGCGAAGCTGGTGTGTTACGCCGAAAGGCGGTTATACCGACTATACAGATACAGATACAGATACTTTCTGAAGCATCTATAGTGGCACAGTTTCTCGGTGAGCCAATGCATGTTGTTGCAAATGATGGAACAAGGGTAAAGAAATCGTTCGCAATTGCAGTGAAGTAAAAAGCTTTTGCAAGTAGCTAGTAGTGCAGTGTGGCTTCTCTATGACACCAGGTCACCCCTACTCTTCTTGATTAAGTGTACTTGGTTCTTTCACATGTAGATGTCCATGGTGACGTGGCCATTTGCAAAAAAAAAGTACAACCCACATCAATCAGTACTAAAAGTAACTCAAACCCAAGTACAGGTGAGAAAAGTAAAGAAGCACAGGTGTTGTTACCTTGACGGGTCCGTCGTTGTCTTCAGGAACGGGCTCAGACTTCAGGTACCTCTTCACATTGCCGTCCAGGAAGTCTCGAACAAACTTCTCCAGGTTGTCAACACTGCGAGAGATTTTAAAAATCGATCAGCGTCTTTTAAAGCCAAGACAACAGAACAGCTACAACTTACTTTCTTGGTTTGAGCTTCCACCTGAACCAATCTTGAAAGAGAGTTTAAGTAGGTGACTCTGGGTCTTGGATATAAATCATATCAGAGCTTTTTGTTCTGTTACATTATCAGTAAAATGTAATATTTTATATGCAATGGTTTTACCCTACGACAACATGATGTCAAGTGTGCTTTTGTCTTAACACTACATTCGATGACCAAATATCTGACAGATTGCTAAAAAAGAAACCTGGTGCAAGCATGTCTAACCCCCGGTTGGGGAAAAATGATGTTAAATTCGGTTAAAAGAAAAAAAAAAAGCAAAAAAACAGGCAGATAAAAAATGCAGCTATCATTTGCTAAATCTTTTTAGATCGTATTTTGCATCATGCATAATACATTTTGTTGTGTTGTTGAATCGAGAACGAATCTGAATTTGTCCTTCATATTGAACTTGTCATCCCTTTTATCCTGTTTGCTTGTTTGTTGATTTGAGAATTTACCTGAACTCATCCTTCATGATGTACTTGTCGTCACTCTTGTCCCTGGCCGCCACGACGGGCTTGTCAGCACTGCTGGAGTCCAGCCCGAACTCCGACAGGTGGCTGTAGAAGTCTCCCCGGCTCGCGATGGCGAAGTTAACGTCCTTCCCTTCCTCCTTCAGCTTTGTCGCAACCTTCAGCACCCTGAAGACGTTTTATGCAAGATTTAGGCTAAAGGATCCAATGTATACAATGATCATGATAAAGAGTTAGTAACTTTCAATTCAGAGACTAGTTATTTCATACACCAGCTGACGCAATTTATATTTCATGGATATGTAGTAAATTTAGGGATACATGTACCTTCCAACCTTCTAAAGCATGAACTTCTAGACAAGATTTTTTATATAACAACGGAAAGGCATAAAAAAAAATCACAAATATACATAGATGGAAAAAATGCTTACCTGTTTCTCCAGTAGTTACTTCCTGAAAAAGAAAGGAAACAACCATAGGTATGGATGAAAGTAAAATATGAATGTATAGCAAATGACAGAATTGTATTTTCCTACAAAGTTTGAGATAGTACGCCACCTAACAACAAACAGAAGTGCTCCCCTCCTTACCTTTGGCATTTTTGACATAGTCCACATCATAGTACGCCACGACCAGCGGCTTCTTGAACTTGTCCTGGTTGCTGTCGGTCATGTGACCACACAGTCCTAGACTGGTCAGAACAAAGGGACAGACAGGATGGTTAACATTCCAAGTTCCAAGAATGTAGGTCAGGTTACTGAACTGCCAATACTGTCTTAACTACTTGGACAGTCTTATACCCTGGGAAAAGGTACAGATTGACCAGGATTCAGTTGAATACAACACAACCTTTCAAGATAAGCGAAAGCAGTATTCTACATGCCTGTTTGGCTTATTTATGCTAATAATTACTTTTTTGACATCGATATTATTAGCCTCGCTCTACAAAATTGAAGTTGCCTCTACTTTCAGCATGCTTTTCTTAAAATACAGCAGGTTTTTCGTACTACCGTATGATGAACTGACTGCGCTAGTAAATGCTTATTGAATGAATGACTTTATTTCAGGTTATCCCCATAGTACAAACATAAAACCACAGAAACACTAAACATACAACAATTTATACACATTTTAAAAATATGTATTTCTGTATTACATAATTAAATATATATATATATATATATATATATATATA